TTTGAGTGCTTTTAGTTTTTCTCAGTATTTAATACAGGCTGACGCAAATACTCAGTGCCTTAGCGCTTGGTTCCTCTTTTCTATCACAGTATTTACTTCCACATAATAATGCAATTCAAGTATGTCCATTTTTCTACAAAAGTTCCCCAATTGGACTGTCCAGCTGTAGTAGAAATTGTACCTCAGCCTTCTTTGGTAAAATTATAGTCCATCCTGTTCATCCCAAACGTTTAATTTTATTTTCATTATAAGTGCATTGTAAATTATTTTTTAACATTGCTTTTTGTTATCCATCAGATTGATGGTAAATTTTCTTTTCTAACCTCCTTCTCAGTAACTTTTCAGTCTTTGGATGTGCATATGGCATCAAGACCACGATATTGTAATTGTTTGGAGTAGAACGAGACCTTTGCTCCAAAAGCGCGTTGGAGCGGAAGAGAGATCGCTTGAGCAGTCAGGCAGTCTCGCAGTTGTGGCCTCTTGACTGATTAAGTAATCGGAGCTGTCCTTGGTCGGAGTTTTGCCGACCTGGTATGGCTTTTTTTAGCGACAAATAACTCATTGAGAAGCGGATCTATCAGACTCGAAAATAAGGTGGCCGATGAGGCTCGGTTGGGCTATAAATACTATGAATGATTGAGAGGCAGTTTAACAGAAGATAGCCATGGTTATAAATTAGATAGTCACTTGAATTAAGGGGAAGAACAGAACTGATAATATGTCGCTGGATATGAGATAATATTTTATCAAGGGAGCGAAACATTTTTTTATTAATGGCGATCGCCGAAAATCTATAGTTTCACCAAGCCATATGTGGCGTTCAAACTGTGATTATCGACTAGTCGCGCAGCACTTTATCCTGTGTCAAACCAAGTGTTTGCATCTTGACACGAATGAGAGCTTCTTCTTCAGAATGGCGAAAGCATTAGCGACTCGGACAAGTACAAAGTTCACGATGGTCTACTGGTAATCGAATCCTTGTCCGAACATGACAGCGGCGAGTATAAATGCGTAGCTTCTAATGAGGTTGGGAACGCGACACAAACAGCTGAGCTGAAAGTTCTGCGTAAGTTATCATTATGACTAATGGGAAGTAATCCAGATATCCCTTTCCTAAAGAGAATCTTTTTAGTGAAACCGAGAGTTGAGAAGCTCTTAGATATAACCAAGAAGGAGAATGACAATGTAGAAGTTGTTTGCAAATATCATGGTGATGGAATTAATAGCGTCAAATTTGTATTTGGGACGGAAGAGTATTCGGTTTGTTCACTATATATGATTTCTTTTTCTTATCATCACTCAAAACTTTTAAGGTAGTTGATGAAGAAGAAGGAAGAGAATTGTCACCTTCTGATAGGTCTGACAATGAAAATAATGAAAACGGAGAAGAAGAAAGGGATGAAGGAAATGAGGAATTGAACGCGGAAAATGTAGATAATGACAAGGAGAAAGTGGAAGATGATGGTACCGAAGATGAAGGTGAAGACGACGAGGAGGAAGATGAAGCAAAAGAAAACGCCCGAATTAAGAGGGTTAGTTCGTGAAGTTTGTTCACAAGCATTCATAAGCTGATCTTCTCTTGATTTATAGCAATTTCCAATACGATTTAAGATATTATGTTTTGCAGTTCGAGGAAGATGTCACTTCTGAACGCATCAGCGTGAGAGCTGAAGATGGTTCCCTTATCCTTACTATCCGGAATTTGACAATGTCAGATGCTGGATT